AGTGTCCATTTGTCCGTGAGGAACATATCAATTCTTGAGTACGAAAGATGCGGTGGTGAGAAATAGGTGTAGTCTCTTTCAGAGCCATGCTGGCATCTCCAGATGTCATATAGGTCATGGTCATGTAGAACGCGGTTGAGGTCGAGGTTGGCGGCTTTTTTTGTTGGAAGATGAATCCATATATGAGTTATTGAGAACATTAAGGTCTCCCCCAATAATGAGTCTACCTTGTTTGTGTTTAGAGATGAGATTGAAGAGTTTGCGAAAAAATTTTAGTTGTTTGCTGTTTGGACCGTATACATTCACCAAGGTATAGGTGATGTCGTTAATTTGGCATATCAATATAATATATCGCCCTTGCGGGTCGACTATGGAAGAGGTGTGTTTAAAAACGTTAGAGAGTCATGAACGGCAATAATTACTCCGTTTTTCTTCTTAGCATTAGTCGCCATAAATAATTGAGAGAAGCGGTTAAGATATAGTTTAGGGGTTTTTTCCGTAGTGAAGTGGGATTCTTGTATGAAGAATAAGTCAGTTCTAGATTTCCGGATTTCTCTGGAGAGCATCGATCTTTTGAAGGGGGAGTTGAGGCCTCTAGCATTAAGAGAAGTGATAGTAATCATTGAAAATATTTCCTGAGTATATATCTAGTTGGGTTGTTGTTTGATAATAATTAAGCGTGTGAGGTTTCACTCTGGGGAGAATAGTGGAAAAAATGACTAAAGAACAGGTAAGTCTCGATATGAACTGTAGGTAGCGTATTCCATATACAATCCTGTATTTCAAATCTTGTGATACTAGTGTTTAGTCGGTGGTGCCAAGTGAGAGGGAGGATGGGAGAGGAAGAAACAACAGTAAAAAAAACACTTGCATGTAACGCAAGTAACCAATGTAGCTATGATCGCTATGTCAAAAAGGAGGGGGTATGAACAAGTTCTGACCTCCAGGGGGGTCATGTCTGTAGCAAACTTGAAAAACAGACAACCTAGAATGTAGGCCGATCGCCAGAGGTTGTAGAATCTATATATTACCTCCGGGGGAAGGTATAGTAGAGTATAGGTGCGGTGTGTGCCTTCGCGCCCTTCAGGTCGCCTCCATATTTTGGATGGAACTAGACGTATTTTCCCGTGAGTCAGCGGGCAAAATGCTCCAGGCTTTAAGGAGATCTAGGCCGGCCTCTAGGTTCCGGATAGTATAGGTTCTACCTTGGTTCCGTACTAATAGCTTAGTGGGGAAGCCCCATTGATAGGCAATGCCATGATTTCTCAAAGCTTTAGTGATTGATATCATTCTTTTCCTGTTTGAAAGTGTGGCTTTAGATAAGTCAGCATATAAGCGTAGATTCGCATGAGACTGTGGGAGCGGGTGGCGGGTTTCTAGCCGCTAACATAATTTTCTCTTTGATATGATAGAAATGAATGCGGATAAGCACGTCTCTAGGGATAGAGGCCGGTAAAAAGGAGGGCTTAGGAAGTCGATGTGCTCAATCGATTGTGACCTCTACTTCGGAGAGTGTTTGGTATCAGCAATTTGAGGAATTGTTGTAAATATGGCAGCAGTGCCTCATTAATGATTGTTTCAGGGGTCCCTCTAATTTTTATATTATTACGGCGTGATCTATCTATCTTCCAGGTCGGCTAATTTTAGTTGAATTTGTTCGATGTCGGACACACATGATCCGCATGGGCATCAATCAAATCATTGTGTGCTGCGACTATGTCTCCCATGTTGGTTTCAATGCGGCGAATTCTACGTTCCTGCCGTTGCACTAGGGTGGTAAGCTGATTAAGTGGAGCAGATTTGTCGTTGTGTAATGTTTGCCGCAAAGACGCAAGCATATTTTTCATGCTTATCTCTGTGAGTGGTTGTGTCAGGAATGGACTGGCCAGCTATGGTGGGACTCACCTGCCTTTTGATCTGCAGTACCAGGGCTGGCCAGCGGGTGTTCCCAGCAATCAGAGACTCAACTTTGCAGCCAGCTAACACCTGTAACTGATTATGCTGGGTATTTAAGGGATGGCCAGACCCACAGACTCTGCCTTGGTGTGTGTTTGTCCTGGGCCTGCATCCTGTTTCTGTCCTGCATCCTGTTTCTGAACCGCTGCTGACTTCTCCTGCTCTGATCCCGGCTCGCTCCTGACCATCCCTCTGTCTGACCCTCTGTACCACGCTGCTTGCTACCTGTTCTGATCCCTGGCTTGTGACCCTGACCAATCTCCGCTTGCTCCCCCTGTACCTACCTGCCCTATTGATATTGACCCGGCCTGCCTGACGACGCTTGCTTGTATGTACTGTTATCTGTGGGTGGTTTGGTTTGTTTTGCACTGTATTATGTTTTAGTATTGCACTGCGTTTATGTTTGTATTGTTAGTGTTAATAAATTATATTGTTTATAACATATCTGAGGTCTGCGTTTCCCTGCGTCAGTCACACATCTCTGGTCACACCTGGGAGCCCTGACAGGTTGATCGGACGCAGGGAATGCATCGATGTTAGGCATAGCCATGTGCGGTAGCTGATGTGGGAGGTTTGGGCCCTGCAATATAGTATCGTCATCACAGTCCAGTCGTGGCCTGGATTTGGCCGGGCTACTGGTCGTGGGAGATAAGGGAGGCGACAACTCACCAGGGTCCCCTGGGTAAAAACTGTTGCTGCAGCCTAGGATCCGCACACTGGGCTCTGTAGTCCTCCTCAGATGGGCTGCTGCCTCCCTGCAGTCCTGTGATGCGGGCGCCATCTTGGATTCCCGACATGACGGCCGGGAAGAAGTTAGTTAACTTCCCTGGTTGCCCCGGGGCTCTTTTTCCTGCGGGGCATGTCTAGTGGGCTGCGGGCACACTGCGGCTATCAGTGTGTGCCGTTCGTTTCCCCCGGAGTCGGTGAGTGCCGAGTTATCGCTGGCGGGTGGACGGAGCCGTCACTACTGCACGTCCATCACCGAGAGCCGGCCCGCATGCGCCCTCTATATATATTTTAATTTTACCTACAGGTAAGCTTTATTATAAAACTTACCTGTAGGTAAAAATCAACATTGTGACTTTACTACCATTTTAAAGTGTAACTAAAAGCAAGACTTTTCTTTCAGCTTTTATTGCAGTCTGTGCCCCAGTTAGGGAAATGCATCGCCTCCATTTATCCTGTTTACCATAATCATTGAAAGTAAAAGGAAATCCCAAATTTTGGGTTGTCATCAGAACAGTAAATCTTCCATTTGGGACATCTGGATTCCCTCACTTTGAAGGATTTCCCTTTGTTCCTGTTTTGGCTATGGGACAGGAAATAAAGGAAAATCATCCCTATAGGATACAGACCAAAAAAAAAAAACCTGACAGGGGTTATAACCTCACTCTATTCAAAATAAAAAAATCATGCTATGCCTCTAGTTATACTTTAAAGCTACCACAGACATGAGATATATCCTTTTTCAACCACCAAGGTTAGTAGTGCCCCAAATACAACTGGTTCCCCTGAGACAAGTGGCACTGGCAGCATCTATCACTGGTACTCGTTTTCCTCTTCAATAAACAAGAACTTTAGGACAAGCCATACGATTATGTTTACAGACCAGGATATTGATGAGGTTGAATGTATGCTTCACCCACGTTTTAAAATGTATTAAATTAATGTTTTATTTCTAAAGTATTTATTATTTAAACTTTACGTTAAATACAGGGATGCGCTCACAACAATGATATCACATAGCATTATGGCTTTTCTAATGAGAGAGTACAGCAGAAGCTGTTTGCTTTCTATATATCGCTAACTGACCGTTTGCGTACAGTTTACAGAGAGAAGGACAAGTCTCTTTTTTTTTTTTATTGAATGTCTGTATGAAGCCATACAAAGACAGAGAGGAAAGGAAGATGAGTCAATTATCTGACTTATTTAGCTGTGTGTGTAGTTTGAGCTTTGAGCGATTGATCTTTGCAAATAGGCTCTTTTTAGCCAACAAGTTCATTTAGTTTGACAAACGTGAAAAAGGAGCCTAGAGCTCCCCTTTGGTCTGGAGGTAGAAAGATATGAAAAATTCATATACATTATATAAAATGTATCTGCTTAAAAATTGAAAATGTAATCTTAAAACAGTCCACCCCTGCTTAGACGGGATTTTCTTAACATTGAAAAGATATCCCTTCACTTTCTGTTGAGTCTACAGGACAGGAAGTGAAGGGGCATTTTCCTAATGAGAAACAGGTGGGAAAAAAATTCCACCTTACCTCCCCCACTATCTAAAATGAAAAAAAAAATTTGGGCTTTACATATACTTGAAACATAAATATGAAAATGAGTGGCCAAGAATAAAAGGCAGTGCTCATTTAAAATTATACTAAAACTAAAAAAATATGTTTTTAACCTTAATGCATTCCCTCCATTAAGGTAAAAATGTTTCTATTTCTCTGCCCTCCCCCTTCCCTATGTGAAGAGGAAGAGAGGGGAGACTAGATCCAGAGGTGTGCATGGCTGCATCTCTACTCCCCTCTCTTCCTCTTCACAAAGCACTCGAAAAGCAGCAGGAGCCAATGGCCAACTGTCAATCAAATACAGTGAAGAGGAAGTGGGGGAAGGGCATGGCTCCATAGACACACAGCTCAAGAGCGAGAAGATACTGTGTGCCCCCATATACAAACTGTTTTCTATGGGGGCAGGCGAAGAAGAGGAGGAGCCAAGATCACCACTGAGGGACCCAAGAAGAGAAGAGGAGGATCGGGGCAGCTCTGCGCAATACCACTGCACAGAGAGGGTGAGTAAAACATGTTTGGTATTTTATATAAAAATATTATTAGATAGTTAGTATATATTTTATTATACTGCAAATATTAATGGCAAATAGTATGCAGGTAATCATAGTAAATAGCTATACTGAAGTTCAAAAAGTGCGATTTCGAGTGGAAATCAAATAGGTGTTTTTAATCTGAGAACAGGCAGAGAAATCTTTCTGCAATGGCTTGCACCACGTTAGTTAATAAGCTCCAATGTAGCTTTCATTTATGATGACTTACCTGATGCGGTCAGAGTCTTTCTTCTGCAAGTCTGCATCCCTCTGCAAGACCTTCATCAGCTTCTCATACTCCTCTTCTGTTAGGAAGCTGAGGTCCAGCATGTTGCCTGAGCTGTTCTTCATCATATGCACAGCAGAATCAACTTCTTCAAATTTAGCTGGCAAAATTCAATCATGGAGTATTTGCTAGGATAGCAACTAAGTAGAATAAACTCAGCATGAGCTGAACATGTGGAAATTTGGCTGCTTCATCTTCTCAATTCAGTTGTGATCCAAAAGTAATGAAAGATAATTTCCATCCACTTTCCCCAGTAGAGTTAGTGTGTTTCCAAGTAACATGAACGAACTACAGTGGTCCCCATTGTCCTCCAGCAACAACCTTTAGGGTCCCCAGCAGACATCAGTCTTTTTACCTGTGAAGAGTAGAAGTAATGCTGTAAACTATACTGCTTTCTGCACAGAGAAAATAGAGATGTTTTTAAATAGATTCAGATCAACATGACATATGGCAAGTGAATGTGTACATTGGGGGTGGATATTTGTTCACTGCTAGAAGTTCCGAAGCAAGCGGCAGTATCCTGCTTCTTGTAATGGTGTTGGCAAGAACTCCTAAGGTAACTGCATGTGGTGATATCAGCCCATTCAAAACGGAGCACACGGGAAAAACAAACAGTGAAAGACCAGGACATGGTTTAGAAGAAAAATAACTGTGCAAACACTAATCATAGGACTTGTTAGCTGAGCAAAGCAGAGGTCATCTATCAAACTCCAAGGTTACCCATGCTTTTGTTCAGAAAAAGGCAAACTAAGAAAAAGCAGATAAAGAGGCAGGTAAGATCATTATTAACAGATCATATGTCTTTCAGGTCCTGGGATTTCTATACACAGTAATAGAGTTCTAGTGGGAGTGACTACCTACCTGTCCTACCACATTAACTTTAGCTACACTGATATTTTCACTAATCCTTTAGCTCATAAGAGCCTGAAGGCATAGCCTGCATTATATCCTAAGTAAACCCATTGTGGACACACCATCATGACAAACAGTGTTTTAGTAAAGATCTTGAGAACTTCGGCCTAATGACATTACTCAGACAGTTTCTTAAAGCTACACCAACTGATTACAGGAAAATAGTTGGAAGGAAGCCAACAGTATCTCTGATCGTGACAACTAGTACAGAACTGGTTATTATAATAAAATCATTGTGACAAAAAAACATGTTTATTTTTTTTGCCTCATTGCTTTTTGTTAGAAGTAGGTAGATATTCCTAGACCTTATATCAGCTTCCTGCCCTTTCCCCAAATCAGGCAGCAAAAGATGAACACTACAAGGCCTTCTTCACGTGTCATTGACAGTGCCTGTTGTCATCTGTGGCATCATGATCTTTGCTTGATTAGCTTTTATGGTGTGCAGAGGTGAGATTAGAGGTCTAATAGACTCCTGATGCATCCCCTAGAACCTGTCACCTGCATTATGCTATCACATAGGATGATTGGATTGTAGGCCAGCTAACTTGTGTTAGCAGTATATTTAAGTGAAAATATAAAATGGTTTAAAAAAAAATTAAAGAGTTTTCCATACTTTATTCTGACAGTTCAGAAGGATGCCAAGATTGCTCTATTACATTGCAACCAGAAATTAGCATCCTATTTGTATTTAACAGCCAAGCAAATAATTGCCCAGTCCTGGTAAAAACCCATGGTCTCTTTCCAAGGTGTGAGAGACCAAATGGCAGCTTTAATGTTCATGAATACATGACAAGCATCATGCCAAATTTCTCAATATTTGGGTACCTTGGCTTGAGTATGCCTTTCCCACGCTTCCTCTGACTGGCTTTGGGTGCTCGTGACTTCCGTCCATGGTGGTCCCAAGTCCATGTCTTCCCCACCCTTTCCTTCTCTTCCCCCTTCTCCTTTGTCTGCCTCTCCCCCTGTTCTTTCTTTCCTGTGGGGTCTTCTGTCCCCCACCTTTCTTTCTCCATTACGACTGCATTATTACATTATCAGATGGTGTAATCCCCAAAGTTGGACACCATAGGTTTTCAGATTCTTGGTTAGACCTCTCCTTCCGTTGGCTCATACCTACTGCACCTTTGCTACTATTTTTACATCTTCTGGCACTGTTATACATTGTACTCCTTGATGCTTAACATTGGAGTCCCTGTGTAGGCAGAATTGGTGCTTTCTTTGCCACTTCTGTAAATTGAATAAAAATTAAAGAGTGCTCAAAAAAAAAAGACCCCCAAAAACTGTTTAAAGCCCCCTTCCCCACGTACATACAAATATGAACACTTGTGCTAAGGGTGTCACATACAAAAACAAAAATTTTGTCACACATTAGAAATCATTAGGCATACATGAGTGAGGACAGCAATTCTAGGGCCAGTATTCACTGTTAACTCTAAATAGATGGGCTGTCAAAGCTTTTAAAGTATCAGCCATGAACATTTTAAGGTATTCTAGTTTCTCGCGGTTTCATAGGCATGCACAGTTTCAAGGCTGGGCTTGTTTGATTGTCTCCATATACTATCTCTAATATGTAAGTGAATCTACCCACCAAATGCAATGTGAAAACTTTCACAGAAATCCAAAAAAAAAATTCTATACAGTAATCTTTCCAATCAAAATTCTATACAGTAATCTTTCCAATCAAAACTGGGAAAGTTTTCACATCGCATTTGGTGGGTAGATTCACTTACATATTAGAGATTGTATATGGTTATTAGCACTTTCAAGGGTGAAAGTTTTTTCTATTATGTGATAAGGTATTTAAGGTAGTCTAGGGTTAGAAGATACCATATTTACAGTTACATTTGTTTGATTGTCTGTTAACTCAGTGCAGCCCCCAGGACTGCTCATCTCTCCCCGCTCTATCAAAAGCAATAAGAAAAAATATATATGCAAATGTTTTCATCTTAAAAAGCAATATCAATCATGAGCTTATTTGCTTTGTGGATCTACCTTGGAACTCTGAATAGTTAAAACATTTAGCTGAAATTAAGAGAAATGGGACCCTGTGCCTTCACTTCTACTTCTGTAATGTGATATAGGAGGCCAAGAACTGTCAAATACGTTTTCACATAGTGCTGGTTGGAAATGTTTCTCCTGCTGTGCTCACCCTTGTAAATTCAAACTAAGATTAAAAAATAATGATCTGAAAAATACAGTGTGTTCTGTTCACTAAAAACCTCTTTATTCATTTGCTGGGGTTTTTTTCATATTTGACAACTTCCTCTTATTTGCTTCTTAGGTGGAGGTTATTGACACAGCACTTGCAATCTGATTAAAAATAAATATCAGAAACTAGAGGTGCAAAACTAAAAGCTTAACTATGCTAGTGCCAGAACTAATAGTGCAGGTTTTCAAAACTTTTTGCATATTACCCGGTTGACTGTCTTGATTTGCACCACGGCTTCAACTTCAAGAATATACTCCTTTTTTCCGTTTTACCATACCATAAGCCTTCCCTCCCATCCCTACCTCTCCCCCCCCCCCTTTTTTTTTTCCTCTCTCTTTCTTCCTTCTCCCTTTCTATATACTTATGTTATCACCAAGTTACTCTACTTTCTAACTAACCCTCTTTCTACCTGATCTTTAGCTCTCGCCTGTGTTCTACTCTTATCTTCGTACCATAACCAATACGGAATGCTGTACCTCAAACAGACGTATTATGCTCCATAACAATTACACTTCCAATTCTTGGACACGTGAAACGGATCTAAGGCTTCCATAGATGCTATTCATATTCGATATCACACACTTCATACTTCCCTGACAGAAAATCCTGCTCAACGGTCAAAAGAAAATATATCTCCTAACTCATGTCTTATTTGTGGTACATTTCTTGGATTGTAATATTATGTTGACTAAATGTTTTACAACGTTAGGTTTTGTATTGCCTGTTATGCTTTGACCCGTCTGCGACAAGGGAGTCGACATACAGTAATCTGTCCGATTTTGGATTTACGTCTGTATGTGTATTGTTATGCCTGCTTTCTTCTAATAAAAATATTTTTTGGAAAAAAAAAAAACAAAAAAACTTTGTAATAGTTTAGCTGTTATACTAAGCTATATAGCGCTCTGTACATACTGCTTAGAGGTAGCCAGTCTAATGTAATTATACACTGCATTTTTTTTACCATTACCTACAGCTACTAGATCTAAATCCTATTGAAACAAGCCTTTCAGTATCAGGATATAAATCTATGGCTCCCTATATTATTGTAAAGTTTTCTGATAATGGCAAACAATAGATTATTCCTATAAGTTATTGAAAAAAAGGTATATTTAAAATTGAATATATAAGTAAAGATGTTCTTTGTCTGCAAAATTATTACATCTCCAAAAAAAAAAAAAAAAAAAGCCACAACATTTTGGTGAAGACTCTGGGACTGCGGTGACTAAGGGTTGATTGAACCTTTAAAATCAACCGGCAATCTTGCCTCTGTCAAAAAACTGCAAAATATTAATATACACTGCAAATGAGGTAAATCAATCTTAATACCACTGAATCTTGCCTAAGGCTGGGTAGAGTTTACATATGGTATATGATGACCAGTACAAATAGTTCACGTTAGGGTGCACTCACACTGGGCATGGTTGAACTGTACTGTACCCGAGTTTGAGTGTTTCCTCTCCCTACTTCCCCGCTGGTCTGCACTCGCTGTGCTTTAAAATAAGAGTTCCTGAGCACACCTATGTCATCCAGATCCCAGTTCTCCCTGTGTCTGTGCTCGGTGATCTACAGAGAGTTCTGTGCTCGGTGATCTGCAGAGAGTTCTGTGCTCGGTGAGCTTTTGGAAATTTCTGTACGCAATGATCCATGGGCAGTTATGTGTTGATCTGTGGGCAGTTATGTGCTGAAGCATGGTTTGCACTCACACTGAAGCGAGCTGTTTTTGACCAAAAATCAACTGTGCCCAGGCCACCTCTTCCAAGTGGTAGAATGGCATGGTACAATCAAAAGTTTCTGGGCACGGTTAGACAGCACACTACACAAAGAACAGAACCGTGCCAGGGTATGGTTCACACTGTCTGTACACCCTTAGTCTACTAGTTGAATACAGGTAAACCTATTTCCCAAAAAGGCAGT